CCCCAAAACCCCAAAACCCCAAAACCCCATGAGTTAAGTGAATTGAAGAATGATGAAATTAAGTTTAAAAATCAATTCTCAGTTGGAATATTGTATAATATAATTATTATCATTCTGGCTTCTTTGGCATACTTATGTGAGTTGTGTTAAAGTTTATGTTCAAATTGATTGAACCTCTGTTGTCTTTGAACATGTTGGTAGCAGATGGAATGCTTTGAGCTATCAGACCATGAGCAATCTGCTATCCGACTAAATTAGCTGCTGTTAAGTTCTAAGATCTTTGGAAATTCAAGTTATTTCCACTTTTCCTTATTGGTACTTAGTCCTAGAATTGATGAATTTGAGTACCCTGTGAATACTAGGTAGCATCATTAGGTCTCCTTCCACCTTGGGATGTTTTCAATCTCTTCTGCTTGAATTTCGATTGCTACTCCTTGACTAGTCCAGTCCCTCTATTCTGTGATTTAGAGGTGATGTGTGAGCCAAATACTTATTAGTTATGATTTCTGAATCCTCCACCTATTCCTTGCATTTCACCACTTGTCATTGTAGTCAACTCCTTTTCAGCTGTGCCAATTAAACCTGAGTTAAAGACATCTTAATTTATAAACGACTGCTTATTGTGACCGAAATTCGAGAATCCAGTTTATCCATACTTCTTGTTTTGATCACTCATAGTACCTGTTGATGTTAAAGCATGAACCATGTTAAGATCACTATTAATTCCTTATCCACCCTTCAAAGTCATCTCTCTTGATTTTTTATTATTCTAGAAATTAGATTATGTCTAGAACTAAGTTCCTTATAAGTCTCCCTTCTTGTTTGATGAATTTAGCTATCTCATTTTTTCATCATCAAGGGGATTGATATCTGGGAACGAGAGTCCGCTAGTCATTGTTGGGTCGATTCCTTGGAAGTTTTATAGTGCTCCGAAACCCTAGCCTCCTCTGCTATAAACTCTTGAGCCAATACCCATTCCTCCTGCAGCACTTGATGGCTTTGTAGTCTGAATATTTGATCCTATTGGGAATTGAATTTTATCTTGCATTGATAGCGGTGAAAGAGTTTACTAGGCTATCATTTAATTACTTTACAAGACCTATTGATAGCCCTGCATATTCTAGATAGTTTATATTTGCTCTTGTTACTGATGATTAACGATTGACTTTAATTCATCATTCTCTCTTTGTAAGTCTTTGCAAATGTCAAAAAGTTCCTTACATTTTTCCTTCCAAAGATCGTTTGTAAAATCTCTGCCTTCTAAGGCTCTCATCTCTAATCTTAGATTGTCAAGTTTAGTGTATGCTTGTTGTTTCATATCCTTCTCTACTTAGTACTTCTTCTTCATCTCAACAACTTTTCTATCATTAGCCTTATTTACTACATCAAGCTTTTAAGTAAAGCTTTTATCGGCTGATTAAAGTTATTGCAGTTTTTTGTCTCTTTGCCTAAGTTCTTCAAGGACCTTGTTTAAATCTATATTTTCGAGGATTTCGATATCTCTCATCTTTGATTCTAGTTCTTCAATTCTTTTACTCTTTGAATTCTTGTATTACTGCAATCTAAGCTTTTGATTGTTAAGGGTCTCTAATTATGATTGAAGTTTTTCAATAAGCTTTTCATAAGAGGCAAGATTTTATTAAGTGTAATACAGTTCCTATCTTATGATCTATTCTCTCTTCTCAGCTTCAGCTAATTGCTCCCAAAGGCATTCATTTGAAGTAAGCTTCTATCTTTGATTATGAAGTTCTCGTTCATGTTTTTCTACTGCTAAGACCTCTTTCATTTTAGTTAGGATTTTAAACTTTCTGATGAACTTATGAAGACTATTTATCTCTTTTATTGATTCAGTGTCATAATAGCCTTGGGAGTGATATTAACCAGCTCCAGCCAAAGCCCCATTAGAACTCTAGTTAGAGACCTGCTTAAAATCTGTGAAATTATTTCCTGTGCCAAGAATGTTTCTTGGGTTGCCTTAACCTCTGTGCGAATTCATATTATACTTGTTGCTAGAATCTTTCTTTACTATATTCTTCACTCGTTTATCGAGACTAAGGATCTCCTTCGCTACCTCCTCTTTTATTTCATTGTTTAATTCTGACTTGTAAATTTGAAAACTTTCTTTGAATTTGTGAATAGTGTTGTCCTTCTCTTGTATGATTCTTTCGTATTCATGCCTCAATTCCTATCTCATGAATTTCTCCATTAAGTAAAAGTTGTCTTTTAACATTCTAAGTTCTCTGTTGGAGATGTCGAGTTCATATATTATTTAATTTCCTTTTTGAGTAAGCTTAGAGTTTATCAACTTGTCAATGTCTGTTAAGAATGCCTCGCACTTTCTCTTATAGTATAGACTCTGTTGATCTTTTAAGTATATCAAATGCTTATATTGATTTTCCTTCAGGTATTATGTCTCTATTCTGGTTCTCAGCTCTGATTCGCCGTATTTAAGCAGTCCTTTGCAGAATATCTGAAGACATTCATTGAAATCCTTCATCTAAAAATGTAATTAGAAATTGAAATTACTGAGAAAACGATTCCTGGTCCGCTTGTTAAAGTTTCTACTTCGGTGCATCTATTTCTTAGTCTTGTAAGGAACTACTATACAAAAGATAGTTTGGTCGATATATCAAGATGACTGTTTCTATCTACAGATTAGTAGAGAGTGGATGCATACTGCTGCTCAGGATGCACATACACATTGACCTCTTTTTCAGCAGCTGCTTGTTCAAATGTAGCAAGCAGAGATGAGTGTTCATTCTTTATCATTTAAACAGAATGCTTGATCAATCTGACTTCTAGTTCTCTTTTAACGACATTAATCTCTGCTTTTCTTTCATTAATCAGATCTGCCATATGCTTTAGTTAAACATTCATGCTTAGAGCATCATACATAGCGTCTTTGTTAACTTTTTATCCAATATCAGTCCCAGCTGTAGTTGATTTCTTATGTTCTTATCTCTCCTTGGTTTTCTACTGTAACTCGTTTAATGCATCTCTTTCCTGAAGTATCTTCATAAGAACATGATCCTTGTAGAGTCTTAGAAGTTTCTCATAACTTTAGATGTCATTTGGTAAAATGCATTTTCCAATCCATTACATTAGTAGATTTTATAACAGCTTTTATTCATTCTTAAGATTTAAGAACTCCAGTTTATGCTTGATCAGGTCTGGAATATTTATAACCTTTTCATTGATGACACCTTTAAAGGTTAAGTAATCTCTAATCATCTCATCTATTTGAAAGAAGTTCGTGTAGATATAGGCTCTTTCGCTATCCTTCATGTTAAAAAAGCAATTCTATAGCTGAATTAAAATGTTTCAATCCTTACCTCTAAATAAGAGTAATCACTATAGTGAGATCTTGACATAATTTGTAAATTCTAATTATCTAGATAATTGTCTAAACTGTAGAAATTCTTAATCATTGTAATCTCCATCGGGACTAGCTATTCCTCATCTATGACTGGCTAATATATCTTAGAAAAATCTTAGTTATCTTCAAGACATCTGTGGTTCAGATTCTAACTTAAGGCGTGCACATTCACTAAGCTTAAATCGAACCCATTCTGATATATTTTAATGCCATTTCCCTTTCTAATTAGATTGCTTTAAACTTCATTAATTTTCTAAAAACACTCCTAATTTTGTTTATCTAGATATATCTCACTCAATGCTTCAAGTCCATAGGAGAATTAATTGAATAATAGTTCATGCTAGTAAGCAAGAAGTTCAATTATCGTATCTATTCTTAAGAAGTCCAGTGTATATTTCTTGGGCCAATCATTCATCTTTGATAACCTTTTACTTATTTGGTTGAGGTCTTCTGCAAGGTCTACTCTAGCTCTTCTTTGATTGACTATTCTGTTTATTACAATATCGGAAATTGATTGCTCAGTCCCAGAAGGGGGAAGTCCCATTTCTTTATCTTTTTCCCAATATAATCTTCCGACAAGGATTTAATCCTCTAATTCTAACACATCTAGACCTGGTGAGTTGTTCCTACCCATGTAATACTCCAAATTGTATATTCTGTGTATCAGTGTAAGATAGGCCAAAAGCTTGTAACTTTAAGAGTTGTAAGAGAAACTCTCGGCACAATTGACTTTTCTAATAGGCTTAGTTAACCCATCATCTAATTTATAACCTTGAAAGTGGGTAGGCATCTTTACCAAGTCCTTAATCTATTGATCCATAAGTGACTCATTAATTTGATCAGTAAATTAAGCTTAAGTTTAAAGTTATAATTCTTTAGTGTCATCGATTCTAGCCTCTAAATTCATAATCTCATCATTGGAGGGCAAGTAGAATAAGCTTTCAAATTTATTGTTCAAAAGCTAAGACACATTAAACTTCTAGTGATTCTTGTAAATGTTAAAGCCATGATGAATAAATGAGTTCGGTAGATTTTCATACATGTCACCTAGTCCTAGAGTGAATAGATTGTTGTCTTTAGGTAGTAGTCTTTGCTTTATTTTCAACTAATTCACTGTTTATAAAGTCTAAATCTTAAGAGAATCTTAATAAACTTCTCTCAAAACATCCTTGCAGTAGTTATGCAGTAGTTTTAGTCTGTATGATCTTAGTATTCTTAACTTTCCTTCTGGTTTGGCTGTGTATGTTTATATTTTTTACAAAACGTTTCCATATCTCTTGATGATATAAGGTCTCTGTCTCGATTTCTTTGCATTAATAGAGTAAATGTGATCTCCAATTTCTCTTTATAATATTTATCTTAACTTATTTCTTTCTCTGTTAAGTTAATCTGTATTATAGCCATCCCCACCTTTGGATAGGATTTGAGCTAGATTAATTACCGAGTTTGGCACTGATAATTGCTTTTTCTTAGTTAGGAAATCCAATTCATGCAAGCCTTTAATGCACCCATCAATGATTGATTAGTTAATCATTACAGCCACATGTAATAATTACTATTGCATTATTTAGTAGTGAACTATAGCTCTCAGTTCTTCAACACCGAGATCAGTCATAAGAGCTTTCAAGCAACTTTCACTTTTAAAGTCTAAATTAGCTTTCAAGGTGCTATCGAATTCTCTAAATGCCAAATCGAAATCCATTTTACTTCCATCATTATAATCAATGAGATTCATGTTATCTCTAGTGATGCTTTATGTATCAAAGTTGATTGAATCAGAGAGCACTAGCTTGAAATTATCTTTATTTACTTGCTTCAATTGAGCTTTGTATATTATAGATAAGATATCAGTCTCATATATTCTATGAATCAATTCTTCTCTCAATCTTACAACCTCTAAAAGATTGCAGCTCATTACCATCATTGAGGGCTAATTCACAACCTCAGGTAATTAACTTTGACCTTTCTTTTCCATGAAATCCTCAATGTGCAGATTACCTCCTATGAGCTTTTCTTCTTGAGTCATTGAAACCACAGATATTTTTGCTAGATCTATCATTTTAACCATTATTTGATCTTATGAAAGCTCTTCGTTATTTTAGATATCTGATTGCTTTAATCTTGGAAAGTTGAATTTTGAAACGCTCTAAAAGATTATTATTTCAATTAATTTACCTCTATATCAAGTTTAGCTATTAATAAGGGATTTGATTTTTCATAAATCTATTCTGGATGCATTTAAGACTTGAATTCTCTCATTAAGAATATTAGGTTGTCACTTTGCTAAAAATACAAATCCTCTTCGATCTTGGGAGCAGATCTAATAAAAATATAAATTAAGCAAAATTTACTTTGTTACAAGATATTCACTATCCCTATTGAGTGCTCTAATTAGTTTCATTCTTCCTCTAGCTTCTATTAAAAGTGATCTTTCAAGGCAAGAATGAGCCAGACCATTTTCGGGCATATGAGTTTTAATTAAATCCTATAAAGATTGAGATAGTGCTGCGTTAATCTTAGAAACGCTGCCGAGTGACTCATAAAAATCCAAAATTCCTATTGACCGATTGCCTATTCCTTTAAGTTCAACTTTGCTTTCATTTCTAGCAAAATACCATGGATAACCATCCATTTATTTTTGGAAAAATCCCTAAAATTTATAATATAGATCTAGTATATTTTACATGTTCTCTTAAAGTGTCAAGGATTAATGGCTCTTTTTATCCTTAACTCATGAATAGCTATTCAGCTGTAACCTCTGGAATACCAAGCACATCTTAGAAATCCATATATTAATTATTAGCATATTCAGTTATGTGTCTTTAAGCAATTTCTCTCATTCTTTGCCTCTTATCAGGATCAACTATGCCTTTCTGTTCTAATCTGTCTTTGAGTTTATCTGTGACGGGTGCTTTTTTCATCTCATCTTCGGCTCCACCAACTTTCTCTACTCTCTTCTTATTTTCATCATATACGAATTTCTAATTCATATGATCTTATTCTTTCCTGTATTTAAGCTCTTGCTACTTGAGCACTTATTCATTTTCCTCCTCCTCAATCTAAATTGAAAAGTCTTTCAACTCTCTGAACAATTCTGCTTTTTATTTGATCACTTCTATTTCGCTTTTGTACGAATCTAAGAAATATGTAGCTTCAAGGTTAAGTCTTGGTCTCTGAGACATAGTATCAACAATCATTTAAATGATTCTAACTTATTCCAAAGGATCGTAAACATGCTCATATGTTTCAAGATAGTGTTAAATAAGCTAAACTTTTTCGAATTGATAAATAGCTTCCTAGCATATCAGGTGATTTGTCATTTCTGCTCTGTCAATGGCACTTGCTGGTTCTTTGATTTCTGAGTCCAAAATAAATTCATGCTTAGCAATAAAGAATGATCCAATCTTAATAAGCTCCTCCTCAATATCTAGAATGTCGTTAAGAGATTCTTCGTAGATTATTTTGATCCCGTATTCATCGAATACTGTGACATCCATATTCGAATAGTCAACTTCTATTCTGTCTTATCGTCCGAGATATTGTCTTGAATCTTTTCCTGAATTAACATCATAATTTTAATTATCTAAAGTCTCGGAAAGAGACTCAAATAGTTTTGGCCTTCCAAAGGAGACATGAAAGATAGGCACACAAGGGCAAGTTGACGATAACTTTGGGTTATATTACCTATTGTATTTCAGTGACTTTATACTCACTGGGTGAACCTTACTCTTATCATTATCTGGATCGTCAAGTTTTCTTGAAATGTGATTTTAAAAGATGTTTCCAGGACCATTATTTCCGTTAAGTAGGTTTCTTGGGTTTCCATTTTGATCCTTTCCGAATTGTGGGTTTATAATTTCCATATCCCCTATAGCTCTATCTCTCGAACAAAACTATTGAACATCAAATGCTAATCGTTTTTGCACCGATCTAAAGTAGTTCAGAATATGCAGCAACTTAATTTTATGATCTCTTGATTTTAAATGTCTCATTGTATAGTAAGCTTTAACTACATGAGTCGGAATAGGCTCGAGCAATGGCTATTCTGCTATCTTTATTTGTTCAGCAAATTAATCAGCTTTTTAGACAGCATTTTTTAGATTATTTTCAATTTCATCCTCCTTAGTCTTGAAGTTATTATTTTCAGATCTAACTTAATTTCGCTTGGTTGCTCTTTGAGCATGAGTTAGTGAACTTTCTTCTATTATCTTGTTTACCGCCCCTCCGTCATTTACATCCAAAAAGTTGAATGCTGATTCAAGAAGGCTATCGTAGTTTTAAGTCTGATTTAGATAATTACTCTGCCTCTTTATACTCTCAGACACAAAGCCTTAGAAACATATAAGATGCAGCCAATCTGCTTTCTTGAGCTTATAATCTGTTTCATCAAGAGTAAAGAACTCAATATTATCAAATCTTTTCTTATCTATTCCTTTCCTTAGCATTTCTCTATTATCATTTAAGTTTATTCTACCTAAAATTGATTTCTTTCTTTCTATCTCAGAGAACTTGCTCATTTAATTTACAGTTTCAGTTTTGTTTAAACCCAAATTCTTTGAAAGTTTGTCAATTGTCTCCCAATCATTTTCAGGACTGGTATCAAACCAATCGAATTATAGCTGGATAACTTGCTTTTAGAAATGAGTAGGGAAGAATACTTGGACTTGATAAGTGAAAGAATGCCCATTATCTATCTCAACATCACCAGTAATTCCAAAATCTTTGGCGATTTCAAGCAAATAGATCTTTAGCTCAAGAACGTTGGATACTATTATGGGAGGAGTCTCATAGTTACAAATATGGGAATTCAAGATCTACTCCTGCCTTGAAACAAATTCTTGCCCTTTTAAATGCTTGGTAAATTTATCAATTATAGAGGTAATAACTCTATCTTCATTGACTCCATTCAATTCAAGCTTTCTTTTAATCTTTCGGGAGACATCATTATAAATCTTATACTTCTTTTAATTATATTTCTCCTTGAAATCCAATATCATAGCTCTGCTCTCTCCCCAAATGTCAAATCTGCTCGAATAAGGTAGCCATTTAATATCTGTTACTAGTTTGTTTGCCAATCTGAAAATTTTATTCCTATAAGTTTAAATTCTTAAATACGTTTCGACATCATCCAGTCTGATTAAACTGTTAACACTCTAAATGAATTAAAAAATAAAATGAAAGGAATTACTTGTGTTTTAGACTCAAGATACAATGGCTTATGTTCCTTATCCTCCTCTTTTGCTGTTGGGTGAGGTCTCTATCCAGTTTTACCTAACTAGTAATTATCCTCCATTTATAGCCTTTCTGCTCTATTCAAGGCTAGATCTATTTCTTACTATAGTCTTCCCAAACACTAATCCAGTTAGATACTGGTTTTATCGATATACTCTGATGTCTAATTTCGTATATAATGTTAGAAAATCTTACCATGATTTGATTAGCCCATCTGTTGAGTATCTTATATTTCTTATGTTATAGAGAAGTAAGTCTTCTCTTGTAAAACAGAGCCAGATCTTGTCTCATGATACTTGGATTTGACCTGTCCCCGATCGTTTCAAGTAACTCTTTGTGAAGAGAATCAGCTATAAGTACTAAGGGTTCTGGCTCAGCCATAGTAGTAACATCTTAGATGTACTTTTTTCTATATGCTTTCTACTTCTCAGGGTCATCCAATTAGGGGATCTTTGGAGGGAAATAAAAGTACTTTTATGCCTCTGATTAACCTTCAATGATTATGTTAGAAATTATTATATGATACTTTGAGTTCTAAGCTCAAGATTGCACCTCATTGCATATTCCTTATAAGTTATGTAGTTATCTCTTAAGGAGTCTAGCAATAACTAAACATTTTCATTCTGCTTTACTGGATCGAACGAAGTCATATTTTAGGTCTGTCCTCTTTGAAGAGTTTGTTGGGTCTTCATATAGAATTTAAATTATATTTGAATTTATTTTACTAATTTAATAACTTTAATCCTTGAAAGATAAACAGGATCCATTAGCTAACAAAACTTAGATCCACTCTTTCAAATTACTTAAGAATAACTCAAACTTTAGAAAATCATACTCTCTTGAGCCCACAACCTCCACAGAATCTGTCAACATCTCTATGCTTCCATCCACAAGTTGTGCAAAACTTAGGTGCCTAGCTATTTAGACTACTACCGCTAGCTTGGCTTAAATTAGTTGAAGAATCGTTATTGTTATTATTGCTGCTCTTCATCATCAAAGGAGTATTCAATTTGTTAAGATTTTGAATTGTCTGAGGACTCAACAAATTGTGCAAGTTATCACCCAATGATGTTACATCGTTTGAATGACTGTCTGTAGAACCTAGATCAGCTGTATTAGTTAAATTAGGTAATGGTAAACCATATCGATTATTGTGAATTTTAAGTGCTTTTGGACTTCCAATCCTGTATTGAGGGGTTACACTATGAGAAGTTAATCAGTGGACAAATAATTACTGATCAAATGATTAGCTTATCATATTAGAATTGTTCAAACTATTTTTCTGAGCTGACTTAGGCTGATGCTATTCTTCATAGTCTTATTGCTATGATAAAATAGTAGAACCATTATTTTATCGTGATTGCTATGCTGGCTTAAAAGGCTAGATTCCTCCTGTCGCTATTTAAGATGTATCTATATAAATATGTTAGATGAGAGTAAAGTGCTTACTTAAGGATTTCTAATCCAATCTTTTAGGCTTTGCCTTGATATTGACGCATATAGGTATATGTCTTTAAGCAGCAGCGTCTGCGAACATTCTACTACAATGAGGGCATTAAACATTCGAATACATTGAACTTCTAGTTTTCACATCACCGTGTCTTGCAACCTTATTCAACTCAGTTTGCTGCTAAACTCTATTCATGTTATTTAGATAGCTTGATTGTGGTCTTGAAGGTGATAGAAATTTAGATCCTTGATCATTTTCCTCTTCATTATGGTTATATATACTTTTTGCTTTGAGTGGCTTCGGAGTATGCGATCTTATAAAAGATACTTTCTTTTTTTCCTCCTATTGATGCAACTGTTATTTAGTTAATATATTGTCATTAGAGAACTAATTGATACTACCTTCTATCTTATTGCCTTCATTGTCATAGCAGCTTATCCTTCTTCTGCCAGCACTGCCTAAGAGATTAAATTCCTATTAAGAATTAGCTTAGTTGGCATGTTTCTCTTCAATAACTTATGACGGTCGACTGGTATAATCTATAGTCTAAGACTATAACATACTGTTGATCCTTGAACCCTGATTGACGGGAGTGAACATATTACTTTATTTAATTGCTTGGGGAGGGCTTTGAAGTGGCATATCATATCTTGAGTTAGAAGTTGAATACTGATCAAACTCATCTCCTTCATAGTCTTCATACTTGGGTAAGGGTTTTCTGTCCAACTTAGAAGGGCTTCCACTCATTCCTGAATTCTATAATATTCCTGGCTTCTGAGTGTTTTAGAAGACTTCAATCTTTGATGAACTTTTTGACTAATTTGATAAATTTTCATTTTAATAATTGAGATTCTATTAAATTCCTGTATCAGTGTTCTGTTTGTTTTTTAAAATAGATTTAAGTGGGCTTTTACTCAGATTCTGCTCTGAATGCAGTTTAGGGCTTCCTTAATTGCTAAACTTATATTGATCTTAACTATTTGGTAACTATTTCTAGGAATCTTAAGTTGTGTAGTGCTATTGAGGCAACTTATTTCTGGTAATAGATTTTGGTCTCTATTCACTGCCTTGGGCTCCGTGAACAGACATTCTTTGATCATTTTTGAAAAATTGCTACTGGCTTTATGGCATATTGCTAATTATTGATTAGTTAGAAATTTGTTCTTGCTATCTCAATCTTGGCGGAGGTTTAGGCTTGTTAACAATATCCTTGCACTTTGGAATGTGTCTCTCAGCAGTCTTTGGACTGTATTTTCTTAAGCAATGAGGGCATTCTACTAGATCCTCTGAATTTTGATTAGGAATCTAGCTAGCTAATGCTTGTATCTCTCTCACATCACCCCCATTATCCTCTAATTATTTCATTTTCTTTGATATCCTGATTGCTTTCAATAGTTATTCATGTTACTATTTCCATTTCTTTTTCTTGTCATCTTTTTAATCATCCTACTCTACTTCCCTAATAACTTTATGCTGCATCTTCTTCTTTACTTGTTTTTGTGGTACCTCCTCCTGGTGATCCCCTAACTAATAATTTAACTTTAAAATTATTTGAAATCATACTCTTTGTTTTGAAACATCAAAAGGTTTCCTTTGTTTTTAAGCTTGGCAAGTTTACTCATGCTTTTTAATTCTATCTGGCGCAAATCTCCTCTCGCAGTTACTGCACTCCACTCTCTTTTCATCTTCATCATTAGGATTAGGATAATTAAACCTTTCGCTTTATTATACTTGTTACTAGGTCTGTTTTGCTTAACCTCCTTTAGGAATCATAAAGTCATTTACGTCATTTATCTTTTTTACTGCTATTTGAATGTTATCAACTCTTCTCTTTGCTTTTTGCTCTAAATTTTTCTGTTCTTTTTTTGCTATGTTTTGGTAAATAATATTGTCATCTTCAAATTCATTGTGTTATCTCTTAGCGAATCTCTCATCTTGCTCAAAATCTGAGTCATCATAATCTTCATCAATGTCTTCCTCGTCCTCTGATTGCTAAATCTTCTTCATTAGTTTAATTATCCTTCCATCAGGATTATTAATTTAGCTTTTTAAGGATTCTCCATACTCAGTTTCATTATCTTCTTCATCAAGTGTAAACATCATGTTGACGTTTGGCTTATGATTATTAAAGAATGCAGGATTCTTTTACTACATAGCATTTTTCTATGTTCCACCTGATCCTCCAGATGATCCTCCGTCATTAACATAATTAATTACTTTACTCTAAGGAACACTTTATCTTTATTGACCCTCGAAACTGGTTTATTATTTCTATTACAATTGTCTCTGCTGATTATTGACTCTGACCTCTGGTTCTCTGATATTCTTTTGTCGAATTTCTTACTCCTAAGTCTATTTATTACTGACTAATCTTGGCTTCAAAGGTCTATCTGCTTTACAAGAGCGCAGATGAATTTGTAATCTATCAGGAAGAAATGTTCTTTAGCAATTTGGACAAGCAATCAATGCCTCCGTGTCCCACTTGTTATAAGCTTACTCATTATACTAGTCTAATTTTTTAGAATTGACCCCTCCACTCATTAACTATAAGGAGGGTTAAGATTTATTGTAAATTGAATTACTTATTCGAAGGATTCAGGAGGCTGAGGCATTGGTCTTCTTTACTTGGGAGGGAGCTTCATTTACTCTATTTCCCATTTCTATTTGCAGGATTTCAGATGAATTCCCAAACTCTTTGTTCCATATTCACGACCACTAGAGTAACGAGTGAGAAATTGAAGATGAATATTTGAAGAATTACCAAATATAACAAACTAAGGCTTTAGGTCTACTAAGGACTTTCGAAGGTCCACCAAGGGCTGCTTCCATACAAAAGGATTTATTTATTGTAAATTATTCTATTTAAATTATTATTTCTTGATTAATTTAGTTGATTATAATTTAATGGGGTTTTGGGGTTTTGGGGTTTTGGGG